AAGCCCTAAAGCCCTAAACCCTCCAAGCCCTGGAACTACCCCCAGGTGCCGACAGCTCTGCCAGACCCGTCGCCGCGAAGGAGACGGAAGAAGGCCCGGCAGGCGGGGAGAAGGTTTAGGGCTGTAGGATCTTGGGTGTTTTTGGTTCTAGGGTTTAGGGTTTAGGGCTGTAGGATCTTGGGTGTTTTTGGTTCTAGGGTCTAGGGTTCATGGTTCTAGGGTTTAGGGCTGTAGGATCTTGGGTGTTTATGGCTCTAGGGTTTAGGGTTTATGGTTCTAGGGTTTGGGGTTTATGGTTCTAGGGTTGGTTTAAGTATGTTTCGGTGTTAGGGGTGCTTAGGGTTTAGGGCATAGTAGCTTTGAGATATACAGTCCAAGGTTTATAGATTCTGGTTTACGCAAAAATACCCTAAACCCTAATCCCTAAATCATCAACCCTAGACCCTAAACCCTAAAGGCTGTCACAAGAAGATTATTTGGCAAGTCTTCGTTTGGGGCTCAGGAGCTTGAGGCTGGGAGGTTTAGGGTGTCGGGGTTAGGGTTCAAGGGTTCATTGGGTTTAGGGTTTAGGGGTTTAGGAGTTTAGGGGTTCAGCGGTTTGGGTTTAAGGGTTTTTTTTGTTTAGGGTTTAGGGGTTTTTGGTTTAGGGTTTAGGAGTTTAGGGGCTTTGGGTTTAGGGTTCAGGGGTTTAGGTTTAAGGGTTTCTTGGCAAGTCTTCGTGGCGGAGTTGCTGCCCAGTCCTCACTATCGCTGCCTTCTCAAACCCTTCAATGATTCAACACTGACGGCTAGACCCGACACCCCTTTCAAAGACTAGTTAGAACCCTGCAAACTCAACAAGAAACCCCCAGAGGGAGCCAACAAAAAGCATCCCCCTAAACCCTAGAACCTAAACTTGTAAACCCTAAACCTTGAACCCCAAACCCAGAACTCGAAAAAGCCATAAAGCCCTAAACCCGAACCCCAAGCCCAAAACTCTTAAATGCCAATACCCTACACCCACGCCCCCAAACCCAAGACTCTTAAAGGCTCAAACCCTAGCAAGCCAAACAACCCTAAACCCTAAACCCTCAACCCTAAACCCTGAACCCTAAACCCTAAACCCAAACCCTAAACCCCTAACCCTAAACGCTAAACCCTAAACCCTAAACCCTAAACCCTAAACCCTAAACCCTAAACCCTAAACCCTGCCAGCGAACAAAAGGTGAGGGGCCGCCACTCGAGACGGCGGAAGCACCTGCGGCGCCCGCAGGCGTGGGCCATGCAGTCTGTCGATTTAGGGCGTTTTTGTTTATGCCCCTTTTCTGGTGTCTAGGGTTTAGGGCTTTCCGAAAGGACGGTTTGGGCTTTAGGGTTGAGGGTTTTAGGCTTTATGTGGGCGGTTAGGGTTCCGGGGCCCTGCTGTAAACCCTAAACCCTAAACTTTGTAAAGAAAGGTGAAAAGCAAAACCTTAATGTAGGGGCTTAAGTAATTACCAACGCTATTTTGGGGGCCCCTTTTTATGCTTATAGCATAATGGGCCCTAAAACCCTATGCTACTTATTCAGGTCCCTAAACCCTAAGCCCTAAACCCTAAACCCTAAACCCTAAACCCTAAACCCCAAACCCTAAACCCTAAACCTTTACGAGTAGTATAGCCCTCTCCTGTTCCGGAAAACCCTATTCTAGTATGGAATCGAAAGGCAACTTCACTACATCTGCTGCGCTTCCCAAGTTTAGGGTTAAGGGTTTAGGGGTGTGGGTTTAGGGTTTCGGGTTTGGGGTTTGGGGTTTGGGGTTTTAGGGTTTAGGGTTAAGCACCTTCCCTACCACACTTACTTTCGGCTTGATCTTCTGGCTCTGACCACCGAAGCTGAAAACGAATCAGGGGATTCGGATGGGTTCACGTGGCAATCCACGGCACGATGTCCTTCCATTTCAGGTCTTGTAAGCAGGATATCTGGGAAAGGCAGACTTCCCGGCCAAACTGTTGTACAGCTCGAGCTTGCTCGAGCATGTCCGCCAAAAGCCCTAAACCCCCAAAACCTAAACCGTAAACCCCCACACCCCAAACCCTAAACCCCACACCCTAAACCCCCAAACCCCCAAACCCCCAAACCCGCAAACCCCCAAACCCCCAAACCCCCAAACCCCCAAACCCCCAAGCCCCCAAAGCCCCAAACCCCAAACCCCCAAACCCCAAACCTTAGCCGCAGAGGCGATCCAGAGCCTTCACCTACCCCCCAGGCTGCAGGCCCAACTGTTTCTAGGGTTTAGGGTTTAGGGAGTGGGATCGGAGCGTCTCTTATTCAGGTTTGTTGGAGGTGGTTTAGGGTTTAGGGCTTTTTTGGAGGTGGTGTAGGGTTTAGGGTTTTTTGGAGGTGGTGTAGGTTTCGTTTTTTTGGAAGTGGTTTAGGGTGTAGGGTCTAGGCCAGGGTTTAGGGTGTTTTGGACGTGTTATACGGTGTCGGTACGGTACTCTTTAAAGTTTCTGTCTGCGGCCTTGCAAGTTCTCTATGAGGTTTCTATAAGGTTTCGATACATAAGGGTTTCGATACAGATTCAGCATTTTGTGGCTTCAGGGTTTAGCGTCTGAGATTTGTTTAGGGTTCAGGGGTGTAGGGTTCAAGGATTTGGGTGTAAGCTTTCGGACTCATGTAGTGGTGCAGCACGGAAGTGCTGAGTGGGAGTGAACATGGTGATTGTTAAGCAGTCAGCATGCCCGTACGCATTGAACATTTCTTTTACACATCTTCGTGGTGATGGTGCGAGTAAGAAAGACGGTGCTCCGATGCTGACTGTACGTTCAACTTTATCAGAAATCGCACACCCCTGTCTAGAGTAATGTTGGTAAGATTGAAGCCCAAAACCCTACATCCACAAACAAAGGCTTCATTCAACCCTAAACGCAACAACTGTATGTTGTAAGCCGTAAGCCCCCTAAACCCTAAACCCCAAACCCCAAACCCCGAAAGCACCAAACCCCTAAACCCCTGAACCCTAAACCCCTAAACCCCTAAACCCTTAACCCTTAACCCTAAACCTTCCCCTCCCTAAACCCCAACCCTAAAACCCAAACCCCTTCAGCCAAAGGCCTTAATCCGAAGTTTTGAGCCTCAGGCCCTCACCATTGAACCTTTGATCCGAAATTGTAAGTGTGGGAGTTCGGAAGCTAACAGAAGCCCCGGCCCAGAATCCTTATGAGGGTTTAGGGTTCTGGGGTTTAGGGTTTTGAGGGTTTAGGGTTTAGAGTTTGGGGTTTAGGGTTTTATCAGGGCCACCGGGGAAATGGAATCGCTAAGCGCATTAGGCTTTTAGGGTTAGGCTTTGGGGGTTTAGGGTTTGGGGCTAATTCGGTGGTTGAGGGCAGGGTTAAGGTTGTCGGGGCTTAGGTCCCTAAACCCTAAACCCTAAACCGTTTAGCCTTCCAGCCTTCGGCCTATGGTGCGGGAGATGGTAGGCCGAGTTTTCTTTTCGCGGCTGTCTATGCTTGCTCGAGCTCTCAGTGGCGGCTGCACTTGTGTAGGGTTCAGGGCCCCAAGCCCTAAACAACCGTAAACCCTGAAGACGTGTGGGCCTCGTTGGCCTGTGTCATATTTAATCATGACTCTTGAAATTCCGGAGGTTGTGGATCTAGTTGGGCCTATCTTGGCCGACTCATTGGGTTCTACTTTGTGACGGCCAGATGTTCTGGACTGGGCCTTTTTGGAGCCGCGCCCAAAGGTATGGGCCAAGGATAGGGAAAGAGTTGGCGCAACAGGCAGCGGAGCGCATCTTATCCTACCCGGCACCCTAAACCCTAAACCCTATACCCTAAACCCTAAACCAAGCCGACAAGGGTGGAGAGGGCAGCGCAGAGCGCTCACGACAAAGCGCTCCACCAGTTAGCAGTGGCTGCGACAGTCCCAGCCCACTCCGAAGGCCAAAGCCAGGGGTCGCGATCGCCAACCAAAAGAAAGGCAGCCTCAGTCGAACCAATTGAGCACGGCATGGCGGCCATTCGATCTAAACCCTAAACCCTAAACCCTAAACCCCTAAACCCCATATTAACCCGAAACCCTAAACCCTAAACCCCCACCGTCTTGAGATCATTCGAGGCTACGCAGTCAACAGCATTCCGTCAGCTGACGTCGACCTAACGAAGTTTAGGGTTTAGGGTTTAGAAGGAGCCCTCAACGGAGAGCTAAGGGAAACCTACCTGTAAGAAAACCCTCACAGGCTCTCTTCAAGGAGCCATGAAAGGAACGCGTTTGTGAAGGAACCCTTCTCCCCTAAGTGCCAAACCCTTAACCCTGAAACCCTAAAACCCCCAAAACCCCCAACCCCTAAACCCTAAACCCTAGAAGGGGCCCAACACTGCAGGAGATCCCGACCCCGTTGAATCGGTTGCGCCGGTCGTGGCAGCCTTTGCGGCGCCACTCGGATCTTTTACGGATTTAATAGGGTTTAGGGTTTGAGGTTTCGAGTTCCTTTCAAGGGCTCCTCGTACCGGGTTCCATATACTATGACCCTCCTCGTACCCTCAAATAGGGGGGTATATGGTCCCGAATAATGGGTACTTAGGGTCTAGTAGAGGGTAGATGGAGGGTCTAGGTATGGTTCAAGAAAGGTTCGCATAAGCGTTCCCGCAACGGCTCCATGGGGGGTTTAGGGTTTCGAGGGCCGATTTGGAGCTCGGAGTTCTGGGTTTGGAGCTTAGAAGTTCGCGCTTTCCAGTTCAGAGTTTAGGGTTTTAGAGTTCAGAGTTTCGAGCTTTTGGTTTAGAGCCTAGTTCCCTAAACCCTAAACCTTAAACTCAGTAGACTTCATTGTTTAGTGTTTTGAGCTTCAGGGTTGGACTTCGGGGGTTCGGGTTCCAACTTTAGGTCTGATCGTTGGAGATTTCAACCTCCAGGTTTCGGGTTTAGGGTTTGAAGACTTTGTTAACGTCTGTCCTTGTGCGGTGTTGATAGGGTTTAGTGTTTAGGGTTCAGGGTGTAGCTTTTAGGGTTTAGGGTTTAGGGTTTAGGGTTTGCATGGGGCCTCTGAGTTTGCGTAGGTCTTGGGGGTAGGATGTGCAACAAATAGGGGCGCTGCCGAGTCACGGGGTATAGCATACATGTAGTGTGCCGTGAAACTTGTATCCGAATTGTCAAAGCCGTTATCCCTAAACCCTAAACCCTAACTTCTGAAACCTCACAAAGTCCTTATATAATTTTTCAAGAAGCCTGTTAAGCCTTTGTTTCTAGCATACCATGATGCTTGCGTGCTCTTCGCTCTGCTCTGCGTAGTTGTCAGGCTTTTGGTTAGTGGTTTGGGATTCTACTATTCTAGGGTTTAGGGTTTAGGGTTTAGGGTTTAGGGTTTAGGGTTTAGGGTTTAGGGTTTAGGGTCTTCATTACAGGATTTACAATATGGTTTCGTTTCGGGTCTCGGGTTTTGTAGCTTTGCGTGCCTTCAAAGACGAGTTGGGCCCACTATTGCTGGGAGTGCAGGGCCCGAACCTCGCTACACAATAAACCCTAGACTCTAGACCCTAAACCCTAAACCCTAAACCCTAGACCCTAAACCCTAAACCCTAAACCCTAATCCCGTTTCAAAGCCGAGAAAAGCCGTAAAGCCCGACGCCCTACCCCCCCAAGCCCCAAAACCTAAATCCTAAGCTCCGTAGGCCGGGAGCCTTGCTTCTGATGACGTAGATGCCCCGAAGAAGGTAGGTTTAGGGTTTAGGGTTTAGGGTTTAGGTTTTGGGGTTCAGCAAACCCCCAAACTCTAAACCCTCAGCCTCAAACCCTAAACCCAAAGCCCTAACCCTAAACCCCAAAACGCTTCCCTTCGACACGAGGCCTCCAGAAGCAATGGCCGCGGAAGCCCCGTCCAGCACGGAGGCAGTGGACCAGGCCTCAATGTGCTCAGGGCTAAACCCTAAACCCTAAACCCTAAACCCTAAACCCTAAACCCTGTGGGAGTTGCTTAAAGGGGTTCCTTTTGCAGGTTCTTGTGAGGTTCCTTTTCGGAGTTCCTTGAAGGGGTTTAGGGGTGAGGCTTCCTTGAGTTGAGGGTTCTGTAAGGTTCGTTTTCAGGCTTCTTCTTAGGTACCTTCAAGGGTTCCCTTAAGGGTTCTTTCAAGGGTTCCTTGAAGGGCTCTTTTAAGGGTTCTAGTAAGGTTCTAAATTGGTACTGTAAAGCACCCGCCCAGTGTTCTAGTCTTGCTAGAAGGTTGTTTCAGGATTCAGGTTCAGGGTCCTGCGAGGTTTTGGGGGGTTTCACTTTTTTGAGGATTTTTGAAGAGAGCAATCTTTGTATGAGGTCCAGAAGCTCTTGCAAGAGCTTTACATGGCCTTTCAAAACCCCGCAATTTAAGGATTGTTTCCTGTAGCTTTCGTTCTTTGGTGTGTCGGGTTTCTTACTATCTTGGGGTTTCTTCGGGTTGAAGGGTTCAACGAAGGAGTTGGTACTTCAAGGGCTAACATTCGGCTATAGCCCTTACATAATTAGCTATGTGATAATATACTCCCGAAGACGGAAGCCGGGAGCTCTAAACCCAAACCCTAAACCC